GGGGGGGGGGGGAGAAAAAACCCAATAGTTTAACAACGTTCCCTGAATTTGCACCGACCTGTCCGTCGGCAGACTGGCTTTTGCGGGGCCGACCAGCTGCTCGAGGGGGAGGGGCCCTGCACGGGGCTCCTGGGACTCGGGGCCCGCCGGGAGGGAGGGGTGAGGACGGGGGTCACGCGAGGCGACACCCGCGCTCCCGGGCCGCGCTCACTGGCGCCGCCCCTCGGGGGGGGGAAGGAGCGCCGGGCGGGTGAAGAGGGGCCCGCACGTCCTTCCGGAAAAGGCCCACGCGGCTCCCGTATGACCGGCGGGCTGAGGATGTGACGTGCAGAAGGGACACCGTCACGGCCACCTGCCCTGTGCCTCTCTGGGCGGGGGGCCGAGGTAAGCGAGCGATTCCGGGCGCTCCGAGTCCCCTGGGGGAGCTGACCGCCGGCAGCCAGTGCTCCGTGGGGCCCCTGCGCTCCTGGCCGCCGGCCTCCCCGGCCTGGCCGAGCTGAAGCAGCCTCGCGGGCCGGGCAGTGGGCGGGGACTCTGAGTGTCGGCCCCCCGGCAGCACCGCCCAGGGCTCCTCCCCCTCTTCTTAGGGCCGGGTGTCCGGCTGCAGGTCCTCCATTCAAGGTCAGGGTCAGCCCCTTCCTCCAGCCCCTGGGGAGAGCAGAGAGCAGACAGCCGCCCCCAGGGGCCGGCCGGGCAGGGCCCCCGTCCCCTCGGGGCGCACAGAGCGTTCAGGTGGCGCCTGCAGGCGCTCAAGTCCCAGCACTAAAGCAGTGACGACGCTGATTTTCAAACAGTTTTAATGATGGGCAATCTGCATACCAATCGGCTCATCTGCGCGCCCGCGGCTTCGAACAACACCGGAAACGGGCATAAAGAGGGCCGTGCTGTGATGACAATGGCTTCCCAGCGTGCTGACCTCCGTAAACGCAGCAAAGAAAAGTACAGTCCTCTTTGGCTGCGACACTAACGAGTCATTACGAACGGGTACAGCTGCTCGTGCAAGCACTTTGTTAAAAATATTCTTCTCATCTTGTGTCTGTCCCCAATTATAATGGAGCCATTGTGCCAGCCAGCCAGTGAGCGCGTGCAGGAGAATATTACGTCCTGCGGCCTCGGCCGCTTTGCGGAGCGCCGTCAAGCGCAGCCGCCTCGCCGTGTTGTGCCCGTTGACGCCTCCTTCACCCCCTGACATTCTCGGTTTTCCACCCGCCCTGTGCCCGCGTTAGGGTAACCGAGCTGGGAAGCCCTTGACGGTCACCTGCGGACGTCTCTGTCTGCACGAGGAGACGGACCGACTTGGGGCTGCGTCAGGAGCGCTTGGGTCAAGCCTGTGTGGGAGCAGCTCCCGCGGGCACCGGGGGCCCGACAGTCGTGAAAGGAACGGTCAGCCGGGGGAACCCAGCGGTGTGGGGTGACCGCACGTCCCCAGCTGTCACAGACCCTTCGACACCCCAGCACCCAGAGGATGCCGTCCTTGGTAGGCGCCTCAAAACTCAAAGTTTCTTGCAGGAAAGCAGGTGGAAACAGTAGCTTCTTTGTGACGAGGTCAGGCAGGGTGACCTCCAGACCCAGGCTGGGCTGGGCCGCCCCCCTGCTAACTCTGGGCCCGACCTGGGCCACGTCCTGCTCTCAGGGGAGCCGCATGGGCCCTGTGCTGACTCTCCAGGGCCTGCTCGTCCGGCCTGGGAGCTGGGCTGGGAGCCTGTCGGGGCCCCTTTCCTTGAGCTCGCCCTTGGTGACCTCTGAGGGGGGCAGGAGGGGGAGGGGGGAGCAGGTGGCCTGGGCTTGCCGCCTCCTGCCGGGAAGAGGGGGTGGGGGGCCCCACCCCTGTCTGCACCTTTGGCCTCCTCGGCCAGCGAGTCACATCCCAGCAAGGGGGGGCATGTCCACTGTCCCCTTCCTCAGCTCAGAGGTCAGGACACAACAGCCGGAGCCAAGTGGGGCCTGCTTGGGTGGGATTCGAGCCAGCCACCTGTAAAGGACATTCTGAGACCTGTGGGGAGGCTTGAGTGTGGGCCAGTACTAGCCCTGCACGGGATTTTTGTTAATTTTGTTAGTGTTTCAATGACACTGTAGGTATGTAAGAGAAAAATGCCTTTATCGTAGCAAGAAGGCATTTGCATAAAATCATAAGACATCTTGGACGATGCTAAAATGCTCCAGTAACAACTAAAGTGTGTGTGTGTGTGTGTGTGTGTAAAACAAGATGGCAAAACGTATACGATTGAAACCGGGTGATGGAGTTTCCACGATTCCCCCACTTTTGGGTAAGCTAGAAATTTTCCATAATTAAAAGTTAAAGTATATAATGTATGCTACTCTCCCATGGAGTATTGGATCTGAACAAAGCTTCAAATATAGAACAACGCTCCAACTTGCTCCATTCCCCCGGCAATAAACGGTAAATCTGGGGAGGCATGAAGGGGAGGGACCCCTAGGAGAAGGCCATGGTCCGCCTGACTCAGCCCGGGGAGGCACCCGTTTCCTCCCGCCCACAGCAATGCCCCGTGACTGTACCCGTGGTCATGTTTATCGGCCGGAACTCAGCTCCCTGCCCGCAGGAAAGCAGCAGGACGAAGACGGCCACTCCTGTAGTAGCTGCCGTGTCCCTCGAGCTGCGGAAGGAGGACGCTCTCCTGAGGTCCCCTCAGATTCTCCCGCCTTGGTCTCCAGGACACTGTGGAATGTCCAGGGTGAGTGACATCACGGCAGGAAGCGAGCAGGGTCCTGCCTATGTGGGTGGCAGAGATAGGAAGGTGCGGGAGACCCCTGGGGCCTTGGGGGACGGGGATCCCCTCTCCTTACTTCTGTTGCCCGTTCCTGTCCTCCCTCAGTCCTGCAGACCCTGAGACCTGGCAGAACCCAACAAAGCCAGCTTCGGGGAAAAGGCTGGGAGCTCACTGAATTACAGAGCAGGTGCTGGAGCCAGCAAGCGGGCAGGGGCTGACGCCTGTCTCCCCACCATCCCCAGTCCCCCCTCCATCTCGGCAGGAACAAGGCTGCTTGTCCCCCCCGCGCCACCTCCTAGCTCCACCCCTCAGAGATTCTTGCTCCATTCACACCAGTGAGAAAATCCCACAGGATTTTGGTTGGCTTGCCTGGGCCGTATCGCATCCCATATCCCAATCCCGGACCGATTCCTATGTCTGGGGCTCAGAATGGAGTAGGGCAGTGCTGGGCTGGGTCCCAGGTGGACAGTCCTCCAACCACAGGGGGGTGGTCCTGGATGCACAACAATGGTCCCCCCTAAACCCGGGGAGGGCCCAAAGGTGGCAGGCGCACCAGGGATCTTTTGGCTTTTTTATGTTTTTATTGCTGTTATGCGGAACTAATGCAGCTGCTTTAAGGATTTTCTTCGGGTAGATGCAGTGGGAAGCGGGCTCCCTTGAGGGGCAGCCACGGAGGACACTGCAAACGTTTGCCGTGTCCATGGACATGTTGAATTTAAGCACAGCTTACATTTGCACGTGGCATGGTGGGTCCCGTGTCCCATTTGAGTTAATTAATGGTCTGATGACACACAGACCAGTGGTCTGGACACTTTCCATTCAAGTGTGGCCCTTTGACCAGCAGCCTCAAATGGAAAACAGCACCATGAAGGGGTGTAGAACTTTGACCCACCGTCTGCAGTGACCAGCCCGGGAAGGGAAACCAGTGTCCGTGGTGACCATCCAGGAGCAAAAAGTGCCATCCACAGTAACCATCCAGGTAGTTCCATGTAGGTAAACAACAGCCCCTGCCGGGATCTGATCAGTAACTGACAGTTTTCCTAATTTTTGTCTCCACTTCCAATTCAGACCAAGCAGAGAGGGCTAGGCTCTCACGAATGAAGCTCTGGACGTTTCCCTGTAAGGGTGTGGACAGCAAAGCCGGAGAGACCCACCCTGGGCAGGTGTGTCCTACACACTCACTTCAAACAATGTAAAGTTATAATCGTACTGGTTCTGGAGACCAGAAGCCCCAGCCGGGCGTCCCTGGCCTAAAATCGTGGTGTCAGCAGTGCCGTGTGGCTTCTGGGAGCCCCAGGGAATTTGTTTCCCTGCCTCTTCCCCCTCCCAGGAGCCACCACATTCTTGGACTGTGGCTCCCCTCCATCTTCAAGGCCTGTCCTGTCTCAGATTCTCGCTGCTGCGACATCTATAGACCCCTGTGATTACAGTGGCCGCTCTGGCTGGGCCACAGTACCCCCATGTACTGAATACTATTCTGGCTGTTTCCGTGAGGGTGTCTTGAGTGAGATTTATGTTTAAACTGGTGGGCTTTGCAGTCACAGTAAGACAAATACTGTCTGATTGTACTTATATGAGATACTTAGAGCTGTCAAAATCACAGAGATAGAAAGTAGATGTGTAGGTGCGAGGAGCAGAGTGAAGGCAGAATGTATAGACTATGTTTCACAAGATAAAAAGAGTTACGGGACTATCTCTGTAAAATTGTTTAACTAGATTGTGTAAAATAACTTCACTGCTTAATATGAAATCATAAAGTTAAAGCTTGGGGGAAATGGGCTTTTTAGAAGCAAACAATTCTAAGTATATTCTGTTCTTTGAATAAATGTCTTTTTTTTCCTAAAAAAGATTTATGGGGATAGATGGGGGTGATGATTGAACAACAATATGAATGCCCTTAATACCACTGAACTATACCCTTAAAAATTGTTACAATGGTAAATTTTATGTTATGCTGTTTTTCAAATTGGGAGGGAAAAATATAAAAAATATAAAGTGCATGGAAGAGTCCGTGGCATGTATTAAGTACTCAGCAAATGTTAGCTATCAAAGGAAATAAAAAAAAAAATTGGTGGGCTTTGAGTAAAGCAGACTGTGGGTGGGCCTCATCCAATCAGTTGAAAGCCTGGATAGAAAGAAAAGACTGGCGTCCCCTGGGCAAGAGGAACTTGTGCCGGCAGATGGTAGGATCACCTGTTCCCTGGGTTTCCAGCCCGCCCGCCTGCTCTGCTGATTTGGGCTTTGCCAGTCACCACAATTGTGTGAGCCAATTCCTTAAAATCTCTCTCTCTATATATACCTATACCACCTACAATTGTATATATACCTACACCACCTCCACCTATATATATACCTATACCACCTCCACCTGTATATATACCTCCACCACCTCCACCTATATATATACCTCCACCACCTCCACCTATACATATATACCTATACCACCTCCACTGGTATATATATACCTACACCACCTCCACCTATATATATACCTACACCACCTCCACTGGTATATATATACCTACACTACCTACACCTATATATATACCTACACCACCTCCACTGGTATATATATACCTCCACCACCTCCACCTATATATATACCTATACCACCTCCACCTATATATATACCTACACCACCTACACCTGTATATATACCTACACCACCTCCACCTATATATATATACCTATACCACCTCCACCTATATATATACCTCCACCACCTACACCTGTATGTATACCTCCACCACCTCCACCTGTATATATACCTACACCACCTCCACCTGTATATATACCTACACCACCTCCACCGGTATATATATACCTACACTACCTACACATATATATATACCTACACCACCTCCACTGGTATATATATACCTCCACCACCTCCACCTATATATATACCTATACCACCTCCACCTATATATATACCTACACCACCTACACCTGTATATATACCTACACCACCTCCACCTATATATATATACCTATACCACCTCCACCTATATATATACCTCCACCACCTACACCTGTATGTATACCTCCACCACCTCCACCTGTATATATACCTACACCACCTCCACCTGTATATATACCTACACCACCTCCACCTGTATATATACCTACACCACCTCCACCTCTATATTTACCTATACCACCTCCACCTATATATATACCTACACCACCTCCACCTATATATATATACCTACACCACCTCCACCTATATATATACCTCCACCACCTACACCTGTATATATACCTCCACCACCTCCACCTATATATATACCTCCACCACCTACACCTGTATATATACCTCCACCACCTACACCTATATATATATATATATATATACCTATACCACCTCCACCTATATATATACCTACACCACCTACACCTGTATATATACCTATATCCCCTACTACATCCGCTCTGCTTCCTGGAGAACCCTAACACAGCCCATGTGGATGACCCAGGATAATCTCCATCCTCAAATTCAGTTTACTAGCGTCTTGACTCCATCTGCAGTCTTAGTTATCCTTTACCATAAAACTCAAGATATTCTCAGGTTCTAGAGATTACAGGCCTGAGAATATGGGTATCTTTGGGGAACCATTATTCTGCAGACAACATCTTTTGCCCATTTTCCAACTGGATTGTTTGGGGGTTTTCACCGTTACATCTTGAGAGCTCTTTATTTATTCTTAACTATGAGTGCTTTGTTAGACACATGGTCTGCAAAAAATTTCTCTCAGTCCCTAGTTTGTCTTTTAATCTTCTTTACAAAGTCTTCTGTAGAACGACAGCTGTTTTTAATTGTGCTAAGCCCAATGTATTGCTTTTTTCCTTTTATGGATTGTGCTTTTGGTGTCACGTCTGAGAACTCTTCACCAAGCCTTAGGTCCTGAAGCTTCTCTCCTGTCTTCTAAAAATTTATAATTTTACGTTTAAATTTATGATCGACTTTGAGTTACTTTTTGATAAGTTGTGGGTTTTGTTCAAGGTTCATTATTTTGCCTTAAGATTTAAAATTGCTCTAGTACCATTTTTTGAAATGGCTCTTTTTCTTCCATTGAACTGCTTTTGCCTTTTTTTAGAGAATCAGTTGGCCGTCATTGTGTGGGGCTCTTTCCGGGTTCTCTATTCTGTTTCTTTTGTATTATTGATCTATGTGTTTATGCCTCAACCAATACCACACTGCCCTGATTATTGAAGCTACATAAAAAGTCTGGAAAACAGATAGAGTAATTCCACTTCAGTTTTCTTTTTCAAAATTGTTTTAGCTATTCTAGTTCCTTTGCCTTTCCATATAGATTTTAAGATAATCTTGTCTATATCTGCAAAATATTTTGCTGGGATTTTGATGGAATTTGCATGAAACCTGTACATCAATTTGAGGAGAATTGTTAAATATTTTTTCTGCATGGATTGATATGATTGTGTGACTTTCTTCATCAGCTTGCTAAGATGGTCAGTTACACCGAGGAATGTCTATTGTTTTACCTTTTTTCACTGATTTTCTTCTGTTTTTTCCATTTTGCTGTTGAGCCAACCTTGTGGGTCACATACAATATTTGTATCTGATACTGTTTCATATACAATATTTGTTAGTTCTGAAATGTCTAGATGGCTCTGCTTTGTATTTTCTATTTATTTGCTGAAACCTTCATGTCTTTGTTGAGACTTTCTGTTTCTTCGTTTGTTTCAAGTGTGTTTGTAAATGCTTGTTGAAGCATTTTTACCATCACTGCTTTCACGTCCTTATCAGATAATTCTAACATCTGTTATTTCAGTGCTGGCATCTACTGAGCTTCTTTTCTTGTTCCATATGACGTTTTCCTGGTTCTTGGTGTGGCGGATGGTCTTTGATGGAAACGTGGGTGGTGTGTGTGTTATAAGACTCTGGATCTCATTTAAACCTGTCCTCGAGCAGGCAGGCTCCTGACCCCGCGCTGGTGCACCGTGTTATTGTTGGCTGGGGTGGAAGCCCATGTTCCCCACACAGCCTGCTCCACCACGACCCCAAACATGGCCTGGCCGCCTCTTTTCAGACCCACGATGGTGCAGGTGTTGACTTGCCACTGAACTTCTGCTGGCAGGCTGGGGACAGGGCCTGAATTTCTTCTGTGCTATTTGGCTGGGGTGGAACCATTACTGTGGAAGCACTGAGGGTCTTGGGAGGCCGACTGGTCTCCCGGTCCTTAGGCTGGAGAGCAGGCTTTCTCGTATGGATCTGTGGGTGTTTCCAAGTCTGCCAGGTTTCTCCAGTACCTGGTGGGAGCCATAAGCCAAACCGTGAACTAGGGGCTCCCGGCCAGCCTGGGCCTCGTGATCCTTGTGCCTCTGCTGTCTCTGCACCTTCCAGAGGCTTCCCATGTTTGCTTTGTCCGTGACGACCAGGGCTTTTCGTGGTGCTTAGTGGGAAGAACAGGGGAAAAGATGTCTGCTCCAATTTTCATGCAGCAGAAGAGCGTGCAGGCTCTCTGTGAAACGTGGGGGGCACGTGTCCAGCTGGGTCAAGCTTTGCAGCAGCCGTGGGCACCACGGCTAAGAGGTCAGCTCCAGTCGCAGGGGCTGGTTGACTTCCCAGCGTAGCCACGTGCTGGGTGGTGACCTCAGGCAAGCCTCTTACACTGATCCCACTAGGGCGGTGCTCCCCGGGGGGCTGGGTCACTTGTCTCTGGCTAATGCTGAGATCACTGGGCTGGGTCTGGCCTCGGGGGTCATGTCCCAACTCCCCCTCCCACCCCCCCTCCACCCCCCACTGGCTGTGCCATTTCCTGTCCCTGAAGGAGCTCCTCAAGGCCCTGCTCTCATCCCGGGGACATTTGGTCTCTGGGCCTCTGCTGTTTGTTGCCACACCTTGGCTTCTGAGATGTTTAGGACTTGGGAAGATTGCTTGCTGGCCGGGTGCTGAGCCGGTGGGGTTGGCAGGATTTTGAGGTTCCGGGAAGATTTGTTTGAGGCACCTTCGGCCACAGAATGAACGCTTGGAGTCACCAGCATGTGGCCCTCCGATGCAGTGTGACAGTCTGCAAGGGCTGGGGTCTGCGGGGCAGAGACCCCAGGGCGGGGGGCAGGGACTGTAGCTCACGGGCTTCCGGCAGCCAAGTCCACAGACCTCTGCTCCCAGAAAACTTGAGAGGAAAGAGGAGATGTTTCAACCCCCAGGAGGCCTCGGAATAGGGGCACCAGGACGCTTAGGCTGTGCCTCTGTGTGTCGCCAGACTCCCTATTTAAAGGTCATTTTCAAAGCACATTTGCAGTTGTTTTCACTTATGAAAATATCCAGTGGATCCATAATTTGGCAACAGCCACATAATCAATTGTTTTAAAACAGAAGTGGTGCTGGCTATTGTAATGTAAACTGTTCTCTAAATGAAAGAATTGAAGGACGGTAGTTGGAGAAGTGCACGAGCAGCGGTTAACGTGCTGCTTCTGGCAAAGACGTGTCCCAGCTTACGGCCTTCTTCCGGTGTGTGTTGCGCTGTTTAGTCAGGCGCGTGCGTGCGCTCAGGTGCTGGGCCGTCGTCCTATCAGCTGGGGCGCTGCCCTGTTATTTGCTGAGCTGTGCACTTTGCACTGTGGTTGTGTCTCTCCGAGCTTCTCTTTCTCCTGCTCTTTCTCTGGTCTCCGCAATCTGTATAATTGTCTTCAGAAAGCTTTAAACAGAGTTGCTGGGAAAGATGAACTGTGTCCGAGTCACCAAGTTCTGATGCTTCACGGATTAACTGTAGGGACTGGTTATGTGGATGCTGTAAAGGCAGGAAGGGACCTGGGTCTCGCACGGAGGCCATGTGGGCTGTGGCCAGTGGCCCTTCCAACCTGGGCAGGGTCCACGGGAGGCGAGTCCGAGCAGACCAGCCCTGCGACTGCCCAGCCCGAGGCTGCTGGTGGTGTCGGGCGCTGCGTTTGGGGACCCCAGCCTTGACCTCAATGGGTCAAAATAGCTCTGCATTCCCAGGACCCCTCTACCGGGAATTCTAAGTGTGGGCGAGAAAAGTGAAATGCCACCTCTGCTGAGGAAGCAGCAGGGAGGATTTGCCTGAGTAAGGGGACCCCTGAGCACACCGCTGTATTCATTCATCAGTTTATCCATTCATCTCTTCATTCATCCATCCAACCGTCTTTTCATCCATCCATCCATCCACTCATCTGTTCATTCATTCATCCTCTTTGTCTCCGCATGGGCTGTGTTTTCTCAGAAGACTGTGTTTCAATGTTGCTGTTACAGGAAATCAGATTATTTACACAGTTCTACATGTGTAATAAAATCCCATCTCTTGGCAATGACTGGTCAGTGTAGCTGCTCAGCTGTGAGAGCCTCAGGATGGCAAAGACTGGCCTAGAACATCTGGGCAGACGTGCTCCGTGAGACCACTTCCATTTTCAGGTTCTGTTTTGTATCATTCTCTTGAATTCAGAAAAAGAGTCCAATATTGCTTTAAGAAATAATTTTGGCAAAATCCAATATATTATACAAAACACACTGTTGTTTGAGGATGGACTTACCTTACAATTAAAGGGGAAAAAAAGTTGCTTACATAGAATTAAGTATTAACTGGAAAATTCAAAGAAAAAGCAATCAGGGCTTAGATATAAAATTGTCCTAGAAAAGTTTATCCAGACCCACCCCTTGCAAAACATACCACTATGGAGTAGGACCTCTGTTAGCTGAGCTTAAATGCAGGGTTTTTCCCCCAAAGGACATCATTAACTAGAGAGAGACAAAAAGGGAAACAGGGTAAAAAAACTTTAAAGATGCTTTTAAACCAGCAACACTCCCACTAATACGCGTGTTTCAGCCTAACTGCTGTTTCTCCCCATCACTGTGGAAAAGCAGACAACAGTTAATACCCCTGGGTGCATTCACAAATCCACAGTTGTCAGTCCTACGATTGTTGGGATTAAGTGACTAAGAATTAAAACTGGGCATCCTGTATGTCTGGGTCTCATGACCGTCTTTAAGATTCTAAAATCATGACTTGAAATAAAATCACTCTGTTCCCACCCATGGCTCTAACTGCGGTGCGGATTGAGTAGCAGGGAAAGAATTTTTTTTCTGATACTTGTGACCATTTCAGTTACTCTTCGCTGTGACCAACAGACCTGAGTGGTGAACTTCTAAGATTGTGGCAATGGAAATAAAGTCCAGAGGGCTCTACATGAACAGAGCCGAACCAGGGCTTGCTCTGGGCATCTCATCACCAAGAGGCTTGCTCCGTAAAAGCAGGGGGGAGTGTTGGCTCATGACAGAGAAGAGAAAATTGGTGCCACACCCCGTAGTTAATGTGACAACACGCAGCTAATGAGACTTAATTGTCCCCAGTCTGTTCATTTTTGTCACCCATTTGAGAATGTCACTTGTTTTATACTTAGCCCCACGGTGTAGGATCAGCTTCACGCTAAAGTGAATTAGTCAAGGTTCTTTAAAAATCAGAACAAAAGTACTAGAACATGTGTACAGATATGAAGAGACTGAACGTGTATACACTTGTTCAGATAACGTATAATTAAAGGAATTTTTGGCTGAATGTGTGAACTGGCAGTAATATTTTACATTTGGTGAGAACTTCACCTTAACATGGAACATATTTTTTTAACCTGAAATCACTCTTGGAGAAAAATATCAAAGGTCATCAATCACCGCTCATTGTCTGGGTACTGAAAGAACCTCACTTTCCAAATAGAATTGAGTTCTATTTCAAAACATGCAGATCCCATCGGGTATTTATTTATTACATATATATATATATATATACACACACACACACACATTCACTTTTTTTTCTTTTTTAGCACCAATTTTTCATGTTTTGTTTCCATTCTCCCAAGTTTTCCCATAGAAATTCTCTCTTCTATTCCTCATGTCGGTAAGTGCATCTCAGAACTCAGAGATTCCAGAAAAGAGGTAGAATTTGTCAGTTTAAAAAAAGTGCAGAGATCTCTTTCTGTCATTCTAGTGTTCTACAGGTAAGATCAACTTTAGCAGAAAAGTTCGCTCTGCCTGCTGTTAAATTTTGCAGTGAATGAGCGAAAAATAGTATTCTCATTTGCTGATTTTCTTTTTTTTTTAACATCTTTATTGGAGTATAATTGCTTTACAATGTTGTGTTACTTTCTGCTGTATAACAAAGGGAATCAGCTATACATATACATATATCCCCATAGCCCCTCCCTCTTGCGTCTGCCTCCCTCCCACCCTCCCTAGCCCACCCCCTCTAGGTGGTCACAGAGCACCGAGCTGATCTCCCTGTGCTACGCGGCTGCTTCCCACTAGCTATCTATTTTACGTTTGGTAGTGTATATATGTCCATGCCACTCTCTCACTTTGTCACAGCTTACCCTCCCCCCTCCCCATGTCCTCAAGTCCATTCTCTAGTAGGTCTGCGCCTTTATTCCCATCTTGCCCCTAGGTTCTTCATGACCTTTTATTTTTTTCTTAGATTCCATATATATGTGTTAGCATACGGTATTTGTTTTTCTCTTTCTGACTTACTTCACTCTGTATGACAGACTCTAGGTGCTGATTTTCTTAAGATAACACCACAGCCTTGAAACAGCTGGGTCTGCTGTCTCCTTTCACCCTGAAATCACACATCCCAACACCCGTTCATCAGAGTTTACGCTTCATTGTGAGTAAGAACTCATGTTTCTTATAACAATGCAGAGTAAATAAAAGTTTCCATGCTTTGGAACTAGAAGGAAGGGTGGAAGTGAAATGGTTCTCTTTTGACTAATAAACGTTCAGAATAGAACAGTTAGTTCTGCTATCTTTTACGGCTCGGTTGCCCACTGTGGAAATACAACAGGGATCTGCAGTTCACAGATCCAACCATAGATGGCGACACAGTACGCAGCTCCTTCAAACCATAAAGGCACAAGCTTGTCTTCTCATTGGCTCAGGTGGTTGAATTTTTACCATTAGAGAGTTCTTCCTTTGCTTAAAATATTATGTTATTGGGGGTACCATGTAAGATGAAATACTTTTGGAAGGGATAACATGTTAGTAATTGACCAGCCATTGGTAGCCAAGAGCTGATTAGCTTGGAAAATGACTTTCCTAATGTGATAAAGGGTTGGCAAGTCTGAAGGCACAGGACCAGGGTGGACCAGCGGAGACGGATGAAGGTCCCTACCCGGTGCGCCCTGCTGGAGAAAGACCAGAGCTCGTGGGGAGGTTGTCCTGGAGGGAGGATGATAACTTCCTCTCAGTTCTAAATGAGCCTGAGGGTCTTCCTCATATCTCCCCCTGTTGAATCAAGGAAACGACGCATCTTAAATTCACAAGAGCGTGAAATTCTGTGGAAATCTGAGTCAGGAACCATGGAGAGACAACTGAAACCCTTGCAAATGCATCGTCCCTTTCAATTTGG